ATCTTCCCTAATTTTCAGAAGGAATAGCAGGACATGGCACAGTTCGAACCTCACAAAATATGGTTATAGTCTGCAATAAAATGGTTATTAGCAGTGCTGCTACATCCCTGGCCTGACTTGAAGCCTTCCATCTGGAATTAGGAGTTAAGGACAGTTTATCAGAGTAGTGATTTGTTGTGTAACAGATCTTGTTGCTGGCATTTAGGAAAAGTTCTCTGCCTGCCACTCAGCCAACTTCTTTTATCACACTTGGTTTAAGTTTCCAGCCTTGAATTACTAGTTAATAATATCTGAGCAAAAGTGTAATTTATTAGGTAAATTCTGAAACAGAAAACCAGTACCTTAGATACCAGGCTTAGTGCTTGCCTTAGGCAAAGCATTCTTTTTTTAGCACAGAATTGTAATGGAAGTAAGATTTGTGACTAATTCCATCTTGTATTGCATGTATAACTTACCTAATGGCTGAATACTCTTCTGAGCTATTCTTTCCTCGTTCACGTCCTGTAACCCCGATAGCAATCATGCTATAACTGAGCATAGGTCAACTGCACACATTCAGACATGTACAGACCACAGAATTTAAAAGTAACAGATCTGTGGTTTCCATATGGGGAAATCTGGTGCCATCCTTTACCACTTCATCTGTTTTATGAATGGTGCTTGAGGAAACAGGAGAATTTTCTCATCATGGTCACTTGTAACAAATTTAGAGAATGCAAAATTATTCAAGTTCAAATTTATTTGAATGAAAGGAATAACCATATCTTGTCCTCTATCAACAATTTCTTAGCTTTTAGATTATTATTTATAATAATCTAAATCTATTTATAATAAATCTAAATCTATTTATAATAATATTTTAGATTATTATTTATAATAATCTAAATAGTGTGATAATACGAACTGCCACCAGATGCCAGCACAAGCTTGCAAGCACTAAATAAATGACTGGTTTTATGCTAGAAGGCAAGGATGGTGCAGACATCCCCAGTCTTTATGTGGTTACAGTCACACTAAGAGTAGAAGTCCACTTTCTCTTTCAGTGCCCTATAGAAATTAAAGATCTGATTATCAAGTCTGATCCACACAGCGCTGTACTATTATTAATCTTGGATTTAAAGAGACCACTGGAGAAAGGAGCGTTTCACTGGCGCAGCTGTCTTATTTCCATACAGAACTTCGGAATTTCTAGCCTAGTAGACCTGTTTTTTTCTGTTGCATACTAAATAAAGGATCCTTAATATCAGAACTTACGTTTAAGTCTGCTCAGAATATGCCAAAATCACTTCATCATCTCTGCAGAGTAAAGTGGACCTTCCAGGCATGTCACACTCTTGGCTGACAATTGTAACGCTTCTTTGATGTGGTCTGAGAGAGTAGTTTAAGTCTTAACAGCTTCCTAGTTTTGCAACTCTTCTTTCCTATTCTTAAAAGCCAGCTTGACAAAGGAGGGATTCAACATTCATTTCTTACCTGACCCAGTATTTTGTCCACTGTTCGGATGATGTAATGAAGGTGTCTTACTCAGAATGTCTCATTAGTGTACAGTTCACTCCAGAAGCCAGACACAGTACCTCAGGTTTGACCAGCATAAAGTTACCTACTAGCATTTCTTTCAGATACAAGTAAATCCAATTATCTTTCTGTTACATCAATTTATCTTATGCTGCCCTCTCCAGTTACATTCCAGCTTATTCGATTCAGGGACTGTTTCTTTTTCTGAGTACATACTCTCAGTATACATGGAGTTACCAACTGTAGGCATTCTTTATAATTTCCAGTAGTTAAATACGTTTCTTCCTCTAAATTTGTTGCATTTCTTTTCATTAATTGCACCAAACATGACAACAGAACTTTATAATGTCTACTCATACAGGTAATCCTAGCTCCTATTGTCTTAAGGATTGTGGAATTGGGTTCCTACATGCTAGTTTACATTTTCGTTGCCTGCTGTAACACAGAGGTTGAGAGTTTCCTAGTGGTCACGATGTACTTATGAACAGGACACACGGCAGTCACCTACTGATGTGGACCAAAATTTCCTCCAGGCATTCTTTACAATAAACACAGACATTCTGTAGAGAATAGAGCTCAAAACCCTTCTGGAGGCCTTGTCTTAAACTGCAGTTTTCACTTTAATGAGAAAATCTGTTGCCAGTAGGAATCTTGTGGAAAGAAACCCAAACAAAAAAGGTCATTGTGAGAACTGTGGCTAACTAGAAAATACTGATACGTTGTCTAGGGGAAATTTGGCTTCACGGAAGCATATTGATATTTTTGACAGCGTTGTATTAAATTCTATCTATCCCTGGAACAACCCAGTTCAGGACCATGAAACCCACATAAATACTCATGGAAATAGACTGAGTTACTGTGGGGGCTCATTAAATTAGCACGGTCAACACTATGAACCAGTGTGATACATTAGGCATGAACGCCCTGGTATCCCTAGTGAGAGGCCCTGGAAACCTGCTTCCAGGAGACCTGAGCCTACTACTGCGGGACAAAGGAGCCACCATTCCCAGAGGCACCTTAGGGAGACCAACGGTGTCCTCCATGCAGCCAGAGCCCTCGTCCCTGTGGGAAGCCAGAATATTCTGATCGTAAAATACATGTGCAATAAACTCACAGAAGGGTTTTTAATGCTTGATATTAGGATTACAAGAATAGGAAAGCAAAGGGATTTTCAGCAACAGGAAATGCCTTTTTTTTTTCCTCTCTCCATTAATTTTCCTCAATTAGTCTCATCTGAGTATATGAACACACTGTGTGTGAAATTAAGTTAAACATACTTATCCACGTATACTGGCAGCATGGATATGTGGCTCTCTGCAAGCACGTCTTGTTCTTTGGATCATGTTCTAAGTGTCCTGGAGATTACAATACAGAATGTGAAACTCATTGATTAGTGCATTTAAAAGAGAAGGTATAAATATGAAAAAGTAAGTTTTTCCTGTTATTTTCATCTATTATGATGCCTTAACACAGCCATTACAGAAGTGGCTGCCACATGGAGAAGAAATAATCACACAGTTTAAATTGCCCAGCTTGGCCATCAGCAGCAATATAGCTGAGAGGTGCTGAGCCACAAGCTCTATCCTACAACGTAAGGCAGAGATTTTCTAAAAGAAAAATTCAGAGATGCCATCTTGTGGGTGATGAAAAAAATACAAGTAACAAATAGTACTGCATTTTTAATATAGTAAATATAGAGTAACTTTGAATGACAAGATCACTTTCCAACAAAATTACTGGCAAAAATACCCACAAAAAGTTGAAAGAAATAAGAACACATGATCACCAATATCAAAAGCTGGGCTGCAAGTTCTCAGTTGAGTTCGTCTTTCTAGACAGAGCATTCTGTTTATTTTTCAGAAGAAAACCCATTAATGCCAATGGGAGCAACAAAGGCTCAATACCTTTAAAATAAGGCAAAAAATAGTACATTAAGGGAAATTTCATACTGTAGCAGTTTCAGCTATATCAACTCCAAAAAAAGGTATCACATACTGACTGAATAAACTGTCAAAACATTCTCAAACTTCTAACAAGATCCTTTAAACAGCGAATACAAGATAAAAGTTACCTCAACAATAAATGAAACAGAAAGCACACAAGCAGTAGTGGGATTACAGCAGAATTGAGCAGTCTGGAGTCAAACAAGGCAGTTTAGTCCAATTAAGTAAGTGCAACCACCCCGTGCAGTATCACACCCCTCTTCTGAGGGTCACCAGGGGCATGGCAGCACTCGGGGCATGGCTGAGAGCTATGGCCACAGCATCCTGAGAGAGGGGCATCCATGGGAGATGAGCTCCCTGCTTGTGGCAGCCCATCTGCTCTGAACTCAGACTTCTCAGAACGAACACTGCTGAGCCTTTTCACCTCTGTGAGAAGCACTATCACCCATGAATTTGTACCAGTAAATCTCTCATTTGGGAAGAAAAACATGGTCCACCTTATCAGCTTTAACAAGGGGCCACCTCTTGATCAATACTGAACCAGCAGCATGGATTGACTTGAGTTTCCCTTGCAAGGCTCTTCCACTTGAGGAAGATGTGAAGCCCCTCTTCCAAGAATTGTAGGCATTGCTCACACAGCGATAACCCCCTTGGGTGCATAAATTCTCAGTCACTGCAGAAGCTTGATACCCGTACTGGTAACAGAGCAAGGACCTGGAGACATTGTGCAGAAACTTCAGAACCACTGTAAATAACTGAAACCTACAACGTCTCAGGGGGTGCCAGGGAGATAGAACATTAACTGATCACATTATTTCACTGCAGAAATGCAAGTAATGGAGAAAAAGAACCATGTCAACAGAGAAACAATGTTGTTTTAAATTTCAACTTACACGTTAAAAGTACAGTTCAACTTTACTAAGGAAAACAGTTTGTACATATTGGAGTAAAATTCTGCTTCTTGTATCTTTTTAACCGGGTAATTTATACTAATATAACTGACATAGAATTTGGCTATTTATTTAAAATGCAACCTGAGCATATTTGTTCTGTATAGTACTGCAGAACATTAAACCTTTAAATTATCTAGAAAAAAAAATAAACCATTCTTTAAATATCTCACATCACAGTATAAATATAAATAGCCACACAAATACTGTCCTGTGGAAGTACTTTAACTCCAAGCTGAATGTATTTGATGGAATAAACTTTTCTGCTATATTCAGAAGTGCTTCTAAAGATAATGTCTATCAATACAAAATGAAGGAAACCTAAAGCAGAGTTCTGTTTGTAAGTAGAGCTCTATATAAGCCCAGAACATACTCAAGTTAAAACAGAAGCAAAAGTGCTGCAGGGTAAAACCCAACCCTTGTATGTCTGCTCAGTCTAGAAGCTGTCTGTTTCTGTATGTGAACCGACTATGGAAGAAGTATCAAATTAATGAACAAAAATTAGTGGTGTATGGTTATCATGTGAGGCAAACTTACTTGGCCAGATCACAGTCAGAGCTTAATGATGAACCAGAACTCGAAAGACTATTTGTTCTTTAAGAAGTTATCATGCAAAATCTGCCTGTATCTATATACCCTCCTTATAACCTAGGAAAGCATCAATACAGACTGTTTCAAGAGGAAAATTTAGCATACACTAAATTTCAGAGCTATAGTAACATGCCAAATTAACTACATCTAACAGAACTTGTTTAAAAATCTTGCTACTCTGATTATTGAGCCTGCTAACCTTGCTTTTGGTGCTTGTAACAGTGCTCTAGAACAGTGTGTTAAACTCATGCACTACAGTAGTGCTTACTGGCAACAGCAGGCCTACTACCTGTCACTACCGTTAATGTGAATCAGGAAAATGTGACTAATGAAGGCTTGCAGAATTTGGCCACAGCTTGAAATTCTAGTACTGGATGCAAGAACCTTTCACCTAAAAAGGAGAAATAGATGATGAGTCTGGAACAAAAGAATGAAATAGGAACAATGGAATGTGCTGGTCCTCTACAATTGCTGGTGTTGAATACCATCCTTCGACTTTCACCGCACCTCTGACACAGCTGATTTATTTGATCTGTGAGCATGTCAGATTGTTTCACTTTAATTGCATAGAGCTGAATGTACATGCAACTACAATTCATTTTAACTGTAACTTCACAAATAATGAATATGGAAATATAATACTGTACATTTGTCGCCTTTACCAATTTAAAATTTCATATTTGGTCTCCAGCAGGCTAAGAAAAAAATCCCACTAAAAATATTTCTCTGACTATTCCTGAGCAATGTTTTTATGTACTGTAAAATACTCTAGTTTATTACTACATTCTCACATTTTAAACTACATATAAACCCATGCTTTGAAATTTTACAAAGCTGAACATCTGGTAGGCACAATGAAAGAATAGAAACAGCTAAGCATCTTAAAACCCATATGAGATCAACAACAGAAGTGCAATTTAACTACATAATGTACTCTTAACATACATAATGTACTCTTTAATATTCGCTACTTTTTCATTTTCTATCATAATGTGAAGGATCCACTTGCAAAATCCGGTCTGTCAGACCTCAGATCACTTCTCAGGAACAATTCACTGTCTCTGGTTGCTGAGGGTGAAGTTAATGCTGCTCAGTAATTCAATCTAAAATGAAAGTACAAAACTTCCTCTGGAATTTCATTTTTAACAAGAATGTGCCTCCAGCTGCTGTGATTGATTGGAAACTGTGGCAGATGAACTGAAACTTGAATAGTCACTGAACTGTCCTTTGTATTCTCTTGTACCCCATGGACACAAGAGAAAACAGAGGGTCTGAAGACAGGACTTGCTCCTGGTTGTACCATTTATTTCTGTAGGGTATTTCCCCATGTCAGTTCACTAACCTTGAAAATCAAGAATCTATGCTAACTGAAGTAGGCTGGTCCATGGGATAAATAATAATCATCTCGGGTGACTGAAAATAGGTATCTTTTCTACCAAAATATATCTTTACTTGAACTAACAACAGCCTTTCATTTCATCCCCAAGAGTCCATTTTTTATGTTTTGAGAGGCTACCCATTCTGCAAACTAAGCCACAGAGTCTCTAGTAACACCCTCACTTTGCATTAGTCATACATACCCATGTACAATTTGAAATTTGGTCATTTCCTCTGAAAGACAAAGCTTACAAAAGAAACTTCTCAAGGAAAGCTGTCTGTAAACACAGTGAAAATTCCTTGGTATAAAAATACACATTCAATTTTCTTAACCTGCCACTAGTGAAGCTGTCTGCTCCCTATTAATTTTTTGTCCTAAAAAGAATCCTTTCTTCATTAAAATATTTCAAAACATTATCTCCATCCTTATAAAAAATATCTAGTTCATCAAAAAAATCCAATTCATCATCTTCTGTGAAGAATTAGTTTGACTTTGCATAGATAAGCATGCTCCATTGTTTTATAAAAACAGTTGAACCCTTTTCCATCAGAAAACACCATCAAACCTGTCTCACAAAGTAACACATCTCTTCAGGAATAACATAAATCCTATTCTTTCAGATATACCACAGTAAGTGTGAGAAACACCAGAGACTGGAGTAGACTTCCACTGGTGCAAATAGGACATGTTATAATTACATATTTCACTAAACTTTCATACTCTGCTATTGTTACCTTCATTGAGCAATTGGAAATACTTTTGAGGAAAGGCCAATTGGAAGACACCTGCCTTCAGGGAAAGGATTTCCTGCTGGACTTGCTGGCTTAGGATCACATGTATTGAAATCATAGAATGAACAGTGTTGACTTAGAGCCATGCATCAAGAACATATCTTCTCAGGATCTTCCTATAAAGAAAACATGACCCCCCTGCATTGGCCAAATGCTTTGTAGCAGTCAAGAAGCATTAAGATCTACTGATGATTTTTTTCTTCATTTAAATTTGCATGATGTTTGCTTTGTGCCATTTATTTTCCTGTCCCCTATTGGTTTTTTTGAAGGAACATAACTGTTGACATTGCCATTTTTCTTTGGATTTGTACACGCATATGTTTTTAAGCCTCTGATGGGAGCAGCTGAACCATGAAATACTGGGGTTTGCTTAGGCGGTCTGATATTACCAACACTTTGAATTTTAGAACCATTCTCGGAGGGCTCCACATTGAGAAGCTGTTGCTTTGCAGCTGGTTTTTTTTTCAGTTCACTCCTTACTTCTCCAGATTGTCTCTGAGAAGACATTGCACACCCCGTTCTCTCAGAAAGCTTCAAGTGACCTGCATGAGAATATAACTGGTGACTTTTTTCACAGTATGAATCTCCCTTGTGACCCAAATAGCTTCTGGGAAGCTTTGTAACACTTTCTTGGGGAACCAGCTGCTTGTTAGGCAAAGGGCTGAGCAATGCTTTGCCTTTGCCAGGGCTTTTTAGGGTACGGACAGAGCGAGGAGCAGTCTGTGGCCTGGCTTTGGCTGCCTTTCCTTTCTCGTTCTGTACAGTTTGCATCTGCAGCCATTCCAGCTGCAAAAGGCGATCAATGTATTTCTGAAGAAATCCTCTTGGCTTTGGTCGAAATTCAGTTTTACCCTCCACATTAACGAAGATGGCCAGTTGCTTTAAGTCCCATGAGTTGAAAGGGGGTGGAAGGAAGTCTGGGTAGTAATATTCTGATTCTTTAAAACCTGTATCAGGGACATGTTCCAAACAAACTGGATCAATTTCTTCAGCTCTGAGAATGAGTTCTGGTGGTGTGCAGGGAGATGGGGGAATGGGAATCCTTTCTGAATCAGAGAGATCACTGGCACTATCATCTTCAGCATCTTCTTTAATAATTTGTACTGATTCAAAATCAAGAAACATTTCATGTACAGATGCTTCCTGCCATTTAGAAGAGCATGGACCAGCTACAGCAACATGTTCTTTGTGATTCTTTTCCAACTGTTCTTTTTTACTGCCGTAAAAATGTTGCACTGGGAAGTCTTTAACCCTGCAGAAGCTACCTTGTGTGCTGTCCTTTGTGCTAAGAGGGATCCTGTGGATAAAAGATTCATTCTGCCTTCTTTCTGGGAGACTCCTCTTTGGTCCTTGTACTGTGTGCAGTGACGTGCAAACACCTGTGGTCCTAAATTATAGGAAAGATCATATCCTGTTAGAATAATTAATGCCTTTGAACATCAGTCTATAAAGGTCTTGCTGCTTCCTTCAAGGACGTGGATCTACATGAATGAAGCTTGGTAATGAAGTAAAATTAATATTTGCTGGCAGAGGTAACACTGCCTACTACAGACTTTTTGGTTTTTTTTTTTTGTTCTGATTTTGCCTGAGAACTCACTAGGGTAGGATAATAAGTTTCCATATTGATAACTTAAATTTGTTATCCTCATAAATGCTGAATTCTGGGGTCAGTGAAGTCGAAAGATGAAACACAGAAGCCACGACTTCATCACAAGCATTTTATGTATCAGCTTGAAATGACTACAAATTAAACAATCTTAACATGAAACTACCTCTTTAGCTGAGTACTGTCATCCAGAATGTTTCTTCCCTTCTTAAGAATAGTTGGTTGGTTACCATCTTGAGTGTCATGTGGAATCTGAAAAAATATATATGACGTTATTAAGAAGCTGACATAAACTAAGTACCCTTTTTCTGTAAGCAAAAACCAACCAGCCAAAAATATTTACCTTTTCAATGGCACTTGATACATTTTTGTCTAATCTTCCAGGAGAAGGTTTCATATACAAAATTGGTTTATTTAGTCCTTTGGTGCTCAGATGGCTTTTTCCATTACTGTAATAGCAAGGTTTAAACAGAATAAAACATCTAAATAGCAGCATACACAATCATCAGAACAGAAACACAATCGAAGCTTAGAGTGCAATGCAGCTTTTAAAAGTGAGACAGTTGATTGCTACTACTCCTATAAGTTCACCAGAACTATGCCATGGTCACTTTTTATTTTTTATACTACTAATGCAAAAGTGAGTAGTTCAATCAGATGGTATAATAATAGAATTTAGCCTTTATTTGTAAGTAACTACATGAATAAGAAATAGTAAATGTCAGAGACTACATATGCAACTACTATTGCTATAGCACCTAGCACATGGTCCTACTGCAATTTAACAAAAAGAATTATAAAGTACTGTATGAAGGCCACTGCAAGCCAAATCCTGGTTGCCTTTCTCATGTGCATACTCTCAACAACATTTAAAGGATTATTCCTATGAAGTTAAGGAATGGAAGTGAGCAGAGAGGATACAGTCTATTCTGATATTAATACTAACTACTTTACAACAAAAACACAAACAAAATTCACTATTTCATGTTATAATGAAGTTGTTGAAATACTAGTAGAAGAAAAACACATATGCAAACAAAGGGGATTGCATTACTGATCTGAACAGCTTAAAATCAAAATACATATTTGCCCAATTAAATGAGACACATTTCTTTGTAAGCACGAAAAATCATTAAATCAGTGTATTCCATAAAAATCAGAAAAGTGTTTGTTCTATGAACAAGAAATATTACTAATTTTAATAAAGGAAAGCTTTTAAATGTCATTTTAGAACTGGAATAAGCAAACTGTGCCCTCCCAGTCTAGTCTAGTTTGACTGCAGTTTAGTTAACCTGTCAGGCAGTTTTTATGTAAGTATAGCCAGATTTTGTTCTAAAACCCATGATGTCACCAATTGAAGAGATTATAAAAGAGTGAAAATGAGTCTTGTGCCTCCAGCACTGATGCAGTCACCTCTGTCACTTTGTGACCTGCACAATCACACTGCACAACTGCTTCTGTTGCTGTGAATCAGAGGACAGGATGACAATCTGAGCAGTTAGCCACACACTTATTAATTAATCTACAGTATGTACAGAATTCTGTAACAAGAGAGAAAATAATTTCCTTACTTTACCATTCCTTTGTGGCTTTCATTGATTTGGCTCTCCTTTTTCTGTGTCTCTCCGTGCAGCAATAAAGGATATTCTTGAATGCCTGGTCCCATAATTACTCTTTCTAAAGGGTAACGCCACCTTTATTTTTACATCATCTTCAAACAGCTCCAGTCTTTGGGGTTTGTAAGACACAGTGTATCGAATGCAAACATCACCACCTCCTAGAGAAGAAATAAACAAACACCTCGTGATTCCTTCCAACTTAATTTAATTTTAAAGCATTAAGGTATATATAATCAGCTACCAAATGAACAAAAGCCACTGAGCTCTTCCCATGAGGTTCACAAGCCAGTTCCTGAAGGACTGTTGGTAAAATATAGGAAAAGATCTGACAGTACAGCAGCCTTGGAAGAGCTACTTTTCATTGTGTAACATGCTCATCATCATTTTGTTCCTCCTGCGCAGCATTCCATGTATTGACTGGAGCCAAGTATCACAGTCAAACGGTGGTGGGTGTTTCTGCTCCTAATTTAACAAGAATAGATGATCAGTCGCCTGCAGTTGGAGCATGTGGAGTTGTCTTTTTTGCCCCAGAAAATGCGCTCTTCCTATATTCATATATGCAAATTTTGTATCTTTTTTTTTCTCTCTCTCTCTTTTTGAGAACAAATCTCTCGGTATCATAAATTCGTGCTAAAAATAAAGCAGAATTCACAGCATTCTTTAATTTTCCATAATCTGCATTCCCATACCCGGGGGGCATAGACAGGACCTGTGACAGCTGACAGATGTTGAGCACCTGAACACCTCACCCACCTCTGTTTTTGTTGCAGTGATGTTTATATATTTATATCCATGTCATTACAGTGGTGTTTATATATTTACAACCACATCAGTGTCTGTTTACATCTGATGCTGTCCTGGCTCTCCAGTGCCTCTCTCCGCCATCCTCCACCCGAGCTCCCAGCGCTACATGCCGGTGGGCCAGGCCCCGGGGGCTCGGGCCACCACGCCCAGGGGCAGCTCACCAGCCGGGAAGGGCCGATCTAACACAGCAGCGGCTGCAGGCAGCTTCCGCAGCCAGGGCCCGGCCGGGCCTCGCTCCGCTCCCCTCCGCTCGCTCGCTCCCTCCCTTCCTCCCTCCCTCCCTCCCTCCCGGGATGCACCAGCAGCCTATGATGCTGACCCCAACCGCGCTGCATGGAAGCAACGACCGAGAGCAGCTCGTTAATTAAAGGCCAGGACCGCCCTCCCCTGCAGCCTTCCCGCTCCTTCCCTACCCGGTACCTGCATCCACCTCAGCCAGGACAGGCAGCTAAGGGCATCCCAAGCGCTGCGGCGTCACGTGGGCAGAGCGCAGGCGCTCGGAGGCGGGTGGGCTGGAGGGGTGGCTCCGCGCATGCGCCGCCACCGAGGGCGAGTTCGCCGCCGCGGGCGCTGCGGCGGGCGAGCGGGGTCGGTGGTTGGTCGTTGGTCGTCGGGTGTCTGGGGTCTGTTGTTGTCGCCGCAGCTGCCGTCGCCCTGCCCTCGGACGGAGCAGAGGCCTGCCGCGGGACGGAGGGAGGACTGTGCGGCTGATGTGGGCTGTAGAGTCCCCAAGCGAGGATCGTTCTTCTTCCAGCTGCAGTACCGAGCCTTCCTCCACAGCCCCGCCCGACAGCCTGCGCCGCGACAGCCCCTGCAGCAGTACCGGTCTTGGCTCCGGCTCCCTCCCGCCCGACAGCCTCCAAGCCTTCCCCAGCCTCGGCAGCCCTCGCGACTCGCCCAGCATCCAGTGTGACAGCTTGGAGTGTCCCTGCTGCTGCTGCTGCGGGAGCGCGGGGTCGGCCGGAGTGTGCGAGGACAGCCTGCAGGCCCCTCTGCTCCTCTGTAGCGGGCTGGCGTGCTGTGGGGTGCACCGCTGCAAACACCAGGCATTCAGCGGCCTCTCCGACAGCCTGGAGTCCCTTGGTGTCCTGCAAGACAGCCTCCAGTCGGTGTCCAGTCTGTGTGAGAGCTTCAGGTCCTCCAGCATCACCGGTGATAGTCTTGAATCCCTTTCCAGCCTGAGCAACGGGACCACCAGCCAGCACAGCAGTCTCGAGCTTACCAGCCAGTGAGACTGCCTTCATCTCCCTGTACCGTTCACTTCAGCTTCTGTCAGAGCTTCCAGGTTTCTGCCCTTCATTCAGGAGGCTGCATTGCTTCAGTTGATTCTTGCTGCATGCAGTACCTCAAATACTTGCTGCCCGTGGCTGCCACTCCCAAGTTAAATGCTTCAGAGAGGCAGTGTGTATTACCTGCTGTGTAAACACTGATTTTTGTCATCAACTAACAATGGAGGTACATGGTCCTCGCAGGAATCCCAGCTATCTCTCTGACCTCTATCAGAACATGTTACGGGCTGAAGAAGCGCAAAGACGCGGCCAGCAACAGTCCCCTGCAATCCATACAAGTAGCAATATGATTCTTTGGAGCAATACCCCAGCTAAGGGGAGCCCCCAGCCACAGAGCAGCACTTCCTCCAGCTGTGATCCAGCATTACGGCCTATCATACGCCGCCGGGCAAGGTCTTTGCCTACGTCGCCGGAAAGAAGGAAGCGAGCCGGAGTGCAGTGTCAAATTCCTGGATGCCAGAGTCGGATGAACCGGGTGAGATTTGCTGATGCTTTGGGCTTGGAGCTCACTGAAGTGAAAGTCTTCCAGAGTGGGGAGGATCCATCGATCCCCTTGCATGTCCTTTCCAGGCTCTCCATAAACTCAGACCTCTGGTACAGCAGCTCAGACTTGGAGTTTACTATGCAGTGTTTGGTCCCTGACTTCCAGCAGCCTGTAGACTGCATGGATTTCTCCTCCCGACTTCAGGAGCAGCAGGTGTGTCTTGAACGAGTGACCAGCTCAGATCTGGGGCTCAGTGGCACCATTCAGGTTCGCAACGTTGCTTTTGAGAAGCAGGTATCTGTGCGATACACCTTCAACCAGTGGAAAAGCCTCCATGAAGTGTGTGCTCACTGGCACAGTAGCATCTGTGAGAAAAACGGGCAAGATCAGGTTGATGTTTTCACTTTCTTTCTCCCTGTGCCTCCTTTCCTCCTTCAGCTGTGCTCTGTAGTCCAGTTTGCAGCAAGGTACCAAGTCAACGGCCAGGAGTACTGGGATAACAACAGAGGGAATAACTACAGTCTTACCTGCCGGACTCACCCCCTTAAGATGCCTAGAGAATGTGAGGAGAGCTGGATTCACTTTATCTAACAGAGGAAGTGGGCACAGAGCAGCTTGTCAGTAGTCTGGTGGCACTCTCTTCCTTGGCATGGTGCTCTGCTCCTATGGCAACAGTCTCCTTTTTGAAACCTGCCAAACCTGATGAAGTGCTCCAGGGCAAGGAAGTAGCCAATGACCCGAACAAACTGTTCTAAACTTCTCAGCAAGTAAAAAAGGCCAAAATGTGTATTGAGTTACATTTGTTGAAAGCTCCTGTGATTTCTTGTAGTGTATGAGTGGGTGCAGAATGGTCCCAGGGGATGCTGTCAGACTACCACAGAGCAGAACAAGACTTCATGTGACTAGCAATATTCTAGGTTTCATAGAATATTTCTAACTGATTTATTTTACGATTTTGTACTGTCTGTTTCCTAAATATGGAGTGTGGCTTTACTGGTTTTGTTTCTAATTTTGTTTATATTATCTCACCAAGTCTGGGCACTTTTCCATTATGCATAACTTGGATGGCAGACACTTTAGGGAGTACTTGTATTTTTATATGTATATTAGTAAGACTGTAACCATGTTGAATATTTCCGCTAATATTTGGGTTGGAAATTAGATATTATTCTGATCAGATCATACATGAAAATGTGCCATTAGCCCCTCTGTTTCCCTTAGAAAAAAAAAAAAAAAAGAAAAAATGTGCCTTTTCTTATCTCCAGTGTTTGCAGCAGGCAGCAGGAATGACTGTTCCCAAAGTGTGTGCAAGGCAGATCTTCACAGGGAAGTTCTCATCTCTTTCAGATGATGCACAAGTAGGCTTTTTTCTCTAAGTGGTGGTACAGGAATTGTCCATTCCTTGTGTGCCTGTTTTTCACTAAGGGAAACTAGAACAATTTTGCACCTGTGTAGCAATTGCAGTTGAAGATCTTAAAGTGCTACATGAATGCTGGTGATTTTACCAGTGTTCCTGGTAAATTTATAAATCAAGAAATTAGCATAAGATTTATATATATATAAAAAATGAATAGCCCCTACAGGGAGCTGATTGCAGAGCCTTGGAATAGCATGCCAGAACCCTGAATCCTGGCTCCTTGTTCCCCAGCATCCCAGTACTGTTGCAGTATTACCTCTGTATTCTTTAATCAACTGTTTCTCATTATAAACCAGTTGAACTCCAAGACTGCATCCTTCGCAATACAAAGAGGGAACTTCAAAGCAAAATGATGTTTGGTAAACTGATACTTCCACAGACCCACAAACAATCCTTTCTACAACTGGGAGAGCACAGGAACACTGTTAGGTGCAGTCTTCCCATGCTTCTTGCTCTACTGCTTTCACTCTGTGGTTTTAGTGTGACTTACAGTTGGCATCAGGCTTAAATCTAGTAAGTAAAAGATTGTAAAAAAAAACAAACAAAAAAAGTTAAAATGCTTTGTTTCATATGTATTCATAACAGCATGGAAAGTTTAGCTTTATGTGTGTAGCACAAACTTTCAAAACTGTCTAGTTGTATAAGAGCTGCTTTTTAGGACTGTACTATGAAAATTAGGCCACTTACTTGGGTATCTTATTTTGGATTGCTGCTTATTCATCAAAATCACGAGTTGTTTTAAAAATCACTATTGTAAGCAACCCACAGCCAAGTCTTTCCTAGTCCAGAAAGCTTACTGAGTAATTCTGGAAGTGCAGAAACCCCAAGAAAATTCATATGTCTGGCAACTTCACGTTACTCCTTAGTTGTGGTAACCATTTAGCAAAGCACGGATTTCAAGTGAAGAAGCTTCCTGGTTCCATTGACATTTGGCTTGCAAAGGAACCAAAGTCATGCAGATGATCCTATGAGCTTCTGAGCAGTTACTTGCAGTACTGAGAAAATTCAGTCCTGTTTGAAACCATTGAGAATTAACTGTGTGTCTGCTTCAACTTTGTGTTGGATCATTGTGAGGTTGAAAGTTTAAATTGTTCTGAAGGATCAGGTGAGGCTGAGATGCAATTCAAACTACAGAGAGGAAGGGGTGCTGCCTGCTTTCAGTCCACCTGCATTGTTTTCTGTGTCAGGCTTATAGGAATGATGATTTTAAAGCATTGTTCTCCTCCTCCTCTCTCCCCAATTACTGTATTTCTTCTATCAGCAAAACTACTCAATCACCTCTCAGCACACCATTAAAAATTCCTCTCTTATGAGACTGGTATTTGACACCACTTTACAGTAGCTGTTGCTGGAGCCCAGTGCCATATTTGTCTTACTGGCAGAAAGATGCTGTTGCCACCTTCTGGGAGAGACTCTTTCACGTGCTACGAAATGTCAAACCTGAGTGTTACTGCAGGCAGGGACTGATTATGTAAAGCTGAGGTTGTCAGTGTGAAGATTAGTCTCATGTGTACCACAGTGTCAGAGAGAGGTGAATAATTAATGACTTGGAGATGAGTTTGGCTTATATTGGCCTGCTTCCATGACCTCTCCGGGTATTTGCATGTGCAAAATCTTGAACACTAAAGTATTATTCCAAGTTTGCCTTTCCTCTCTTTGCTTGCTGGAGATTGCGCTCATGAACTGCTGGAGAAGAACTGACATAGCTGTTACTAACCCAGCTGTCTGGTGGTGCAAAGTTGAGCAGCCCTGCCTTGTAATGGAACTGAGTAATCTCTGGGTTAAGCTGCTGAACATTCACACGAGTGCTGGCACCTGTCATGAAAGATGCAATTTGCACATAGGTTTTCCTGTCATACTCAGTAGTGAATATCAAAAGGATTCTAGCTGACAAAAAAGGGATTAAGCCATTAAGTAGTGGTATTACACACCTGTGGTGAAGGTTAATTTCTGAGCACCTTATACATTCTCAGGACAACTTGACTGCTTGCACTGTGTTCAAACTGAGCACTTCCCTTATAATGAGGAGTTTGTAAAAGTGAATTCTTCACAAGGGTTATTGCCATATAATGCACTTTTAAAAACCTGTATTTATTACAATCATACAATATATGTCTAGTCCAGTTTCAAGGTTCTTTTGGGCATGTTTTCTAAAGAAACATATGGGATCCATGTAAACGAACAGGGGTTCTCTTTCCCAATTAATCGTCTTGTCCAGATGAAAGTACATTACACAGTGTATCAGTAAAACACATATGCTAGACAAAAGGTCATTTTGTTTTAGTGGAGAGTTGTATAATTGCAAAGTGCTTTATTTCATTTTTAAAACAATAAAATATTGGCTATTGTAATACAAAATATTGTAATAAAGCTTTTCACAATCTTATGGTTTTGTCAATGGTTCTCCTGTTAACAGATAAGGAAACTCCTGAGTTTAGTGGCACAACTTAGTGCTGAGTTGTCACTAAGAGCAGCATACTCAGGAAAGTAAGGTGGGTTTGAGTTGCTAAAAAATGAAGAGCACTTGCTAAAAATACAGTGATCAGTCTATATAGCTGCTAAAATGATTAGGCTGTCCCTTCTGACATGGAATTTGCTTTCATTTCAGCTAAGAGTTCTGTGCATGCAGCACGTGCTGGATTATGATCTAATGTTGGAAAATGGCACACTGCCAGCTGATTCAAATGTTGTTTCATGGAAGAGAAAGGGGTTTTCTTCTAATTCCACTTCCAAAGGGTGTGCTAGACTGTATGTAGCACATTAATTTCTGAGCCTCACAGTTGTGTTCTTCTCTCATTTGTTTGTTCTTTAGTTTTCATTGCTGCAGACTGTCCTCTCAATCCACCATGTTCTTTTCACTCACTGGTTTCTTGAAAATACAACTGAATGCAGTATGGTTAAGAGAGCATCCATCATCTCTGCATCTCGGACTGTCTATATCCTCTATATGAAATACATCTCCATCAGTGTCAAGCTTTTACTTGATACAGTCCAAGATTTGAATTATGTGTTGCCAGGTTTCTTCCAAAGCAAAATGGAGACATTTAACTAGAAGACATAATTAGTAAAGAAAGACATATATTACCAGTTACTTTTTAATCAGTGTTGATAACTTCAACACTACATTGTCCAAGTTGCTTGGGGGAAGGATGATTACTGCAAATTTAAATTTGCAATTTAAATACAAGGGAATATCTTTCTTATGCTGAGTTGCTTAAGAATGTCAGTGTCACTTTTTATTACAAAGTGTGCAGATTATGTGTTAAATGCATGCAAATGCATAAAGGAATGTGCTTTTAGAAAGCATGGTATTACAATATCTTGTCTTTAGGACTCTTATTTTTGCATTTTCCTATACTACTGGTCTAAATCAGTACTAGCAGTACCACCATAGTTGTCATAACTTCACCCATGAAAAAAGTATTGTCATCTGGAAATAAATATGGCAACCGCAGTGCAGACTAGCCAGGAGACCAGCAAAGGATAAACGCAGTGGTCTTTGATTTTAACAAATCACTTGAAAACAATGGGAGCAGGCTGGGTGTAAGAATATTTAAGAGAAGGACTGACTTTTGCTGTGAATATCCAACTGTCAGATTTATCTTACAGGTAGTTAGCGTTACTTGTAATACAGGTGTTATTTTTACATTTAGTTTCACATTTTCTTTGTATAATATTTCACATAATTTCTTTGTATTTATCTTGCAGAGAATAAATTAAATTCAACTTGTAGTAATAGTAATATGCTAACAGTCAGCTGTAACTACAGTTCTTAATTTACTGAATCACCAGTGCTCAGTACAATCTTATGTGTCCTTTACAGCATTGCTGATCAAGACAGAATGGCAAGTCTAAATCATTAGTCATTTGTCAATGAGTCTAATGTTAGTACTGACTTCTTTCCTAACTTGACTTTGTCCTTATGATCTCAGATCTGCAACTATTTCAGCCGACACTTGATATTAAAACTGTTGGCATCAATGCTTTTGACCCTTCTCACTTCTGCACACAACAGCAGCTGTGCCAAATTGTATTGACCTGTACAGTGTTTTCAAGTACCTGTAATGAAGGTAAGTATTTCTGCTACTGTAGTGAAGGGTCCCTACACTCCGTTTGCTTCCATTTTCTCTGAAAATTTTAAGTGTAGTTGCCATATCTGTGGCCCGAATAATTTCACTGTGTGTTCCAGTCTAATCCATAACTTAATGGAAATTCAGCTTTCTGTTGCCATCCCTTCTGCCAAACCAAACAAAAGAGACATTAAAGAAAGCGAAATGAACATACAGTAGTCTCCCATTCATGTCAGTGTACCTAGTGAAGGATAGAAAGTATATAACCTGCTTCTGTACTGTCTGACTCACATTTCTTTTACTATAGAATGGGTAAGGCTGTTCTCTTTACAAGATTTGGAAATCTGTGGACAGTCTAAGCCTGGGTGTATGCTAATGTGACTGGTAGGGGAAAGCATCAAACGCAAATTGGCTTTTATTACTTCTGCTTCATATGATGAAAGTGGAATTCGGAATTCAGTTTTCATAGAAAACTTCTGATGCTCCCAATTCCTCATGTGAAGTTTTGTCCTCCTAGGAGGTTTCTCAGTAAAGCTGTACTTGTTCAGATCTGCTTCAGATCACCCAGTGCCTTCTAATAAATTATTCCAACAGCAAATATAACAGTGGTTAATGTTGCAGTTAATCTTTTTGGCTGAATGTGCTCAGCCCTAGTCCTGTGCGATCTCCTCCTCAGTCCAGTTCTGAACCACTTGTCATTTTCTTGAGTTACAGTGACATCTGGTGGTACTTGGAATACTTTGTGTACAGCTTCCCCCTCCTCCCCCCCCCCCATTTTATAGTATAGATTTGGTTTCTTTCTTATTCTAGTAAGTCACTGGTGTTCTTTATATAATGTTGCTGCAGGTTTATCTGCCATGAAGCTGATTCCACTCTGTCCTGGGTTTAGCAGTAGCAGTTAGATGCTGACTATAGCTGCTTATTCCAGGTATGAACAGAGGTGCTGCCGGATACTACACTGGAACGTGTAAGATTTATGCTAAATTTTCTCTCTTCTATTAGTGATACAGATGTCAGATACATCTATATAACATCAGTACAGGTAAAGCCCCTCTTTGGAACTGTTGGATTTCATTCAAAAACATTACCCAGTTCCATCTGTATAATAAAGACCACAAATGTCAGTAGGAGCTCTTTAGCAACACGAGGTCTGTATCTGAGTTTCTGTATGTTCTTTACCTACTAAGACACTTGTTGGTAGTGAAAATGTTTCTGAATTAAGTATACAAATTAATTACACTGGCTTGGCAACCTCATGGCCAGTAACTCTTGTCTACAATATGCATTGAAATTAATGTTCTAAATACTGATTATCAAAAAAGGCAATTTGCAACATAAAACAATTAGAATGGTGCAGGTAAGCAGACACAGTCCTTTGATACCATTCGGTGGATAAAGAACTGGCTGGATGGCCACACACAAAGAGTTGTGGTCAGTGGATCAGTGTTCAGCTTGAGACCAGCAACGAGTGGTGTCCCTCAGGGATCGGTGTTGGGATCAGTCTTGTTTAACATCTTCGTCGCTGACATGGACAGTGGGATTTAGTGCGCCCTCAGCAAGTTTGCTGATGACACCAAGCTGTGTGGTTCAGTTGATACGCTGGAGGGAAGGAATGCCATCCAGAGGGACCTTGACACGCTTGTGAGGTGGGCTGATGCCAACCTCCTGAAGTTTAACCATGCCAAGTGCAAGGTCCTACACCTGGGTCAGAGCAATCCCAGGCACAGCTACAGGCTGGGCAGAGAACTGATTCAGAGCAGCCCTGCAGAGAAGGACTTGGGGGTGCTGGTCAATGAGAAAATGAACATGAGCTGGCAGTGTGAGCTTGCAGCCCAGAAAGCCAACCGTATCCTGGGCTGCATCAAAAGGAGTGTGACCAGCAAGTCAAAGGAGGTGATCCTGCCCCTTTATTCTGCTCTCGTGAGACCTCACCTGGAGTATTGTGTGCAGTTCTGGTGTCCTCAACATAAAAAGGACATGGATCTGTTGGAAAAAGTCCAGAGGAGGGCCATGAGAATGATCAAGGGACTGGAGGACCTCCCATATGAAGATAGGCTGAGAAAGTTGGGGCTGTTCAGCCTGGAGAAGGCTGCGTGGAGACCTCATAGCAGCCTTCCAGTATCTAAAGGGGGCCTATAGGGATGCTGGGGAGGGTCTATTCATTAGGGACTGTAGTGACAGGACAAGGGGTAACGGGTTAAAACTTAAACAGGGGAAGTTTAGATTGGATATAAGGAGGAAATTCTTTCCTGTTAGAGTGGTGAGGCACTGGAATGGGTTGCCCAGGGAGGTTGTGAATGCTCCATCCCTGGCAGTGTTCAAGGCCGGGTTGAACGAGGCCTTGGGTGATATGGTTTAGAGCGAGGTGTCCCTGCCCATGGCAGGGGGGTGGAACTGGATGATCTTAAGGTCCTTTCCAACCCTAACTATTCTATGATACTATGATTCTGTTGCTCAATAGTAAAACCACTCCACAGCCCTCTCCTTCCCCACCGCAGGAATTACCTAACACCAGGTAGGAAGGGAATTCAGGGCTCATTTGGTCCAATCTTTCCAGGCAAAGCATGAGCTAGACTAGATGTCCAAGCACCCTGCCCAGCCATAATCTTAACAGTGGCCAGTGCTGGGGAAGCCATCACTTCACTGGAGAGATTACTGCAATGGCTGATTGTTCCCATTGGTAAGTATTTTCCTGTTGTTTCCAGGTTTAACTCCCCAGGAGTAATTTGTGCCCATCACCCCTTGTCTTTTTCCTTTGTCTCCTTGTAAAAAAGGGAGTCCCAATCTTCTCCATAGCCACCCTTTAAACACTGGAACATGGGAGATAAAAGTCCCCCCTGAGCCTTTTTTTCTCAAGGCTGAAGAAACCCAGCTCTCAGCCTCTCCTTATGTGGCTTCCTAGTCCTTGGATCGTCTTTGTGGCCCTTCTTTGGACCTTCTCCAGCCCATCCACATCTTTTTTGCACAGCAAGGACCAAAACTGAACAGTGTATTCCAGGTGTGGCCTGACAAGCACTGAGCAGGGTGGGATAATGACTTC